TTGGACTCGTCTTATACAAGCTGGGCTTCGGTAATGAATAGTTTATGTGCTGCTAACTACGAGGTTCGGGACCAAGGAAGGATGTTCGATGTGTTTTGCTTGAGGGCTGTTTTTCGTTCTTCATGAAGCCTCTGCGGCAACACCACAGCGCAATCCCGATAAAACCCAAGAATACTATAAAGTAAAGTGTCTATGTACATGCGCCCAGTAATAAATATCGGCACATCACGCATATAAAGGCGGCGGATCGTTCCGCTCAGCCACCAACTGCCGCACCTCATCCCTCAGCGTCTGCAGCTCCCGCAAAACCGCGGGATCTGTCGGTGCCGGCGCCGGCGCGGTTGCGGCCTGCGCCCCTGGTGGTAGCGGCAGCGGCGGCGATGGCGTGGTGAGTATTGGTGATAGGTTTGTTGTGGACGGCGACAAGCTGTCACTAAGGTAGGATGAGGACGTTCCCGGGGAGAGGGAGAGCTGCAGCCCTTTGGACGTCTGCATGAGGTTATTTGACGGCTCCCTGTAGTGCCCGCCCACCGCGGCCGCCTGCGCGCGCTTCATGGATTGCAGCGCCGCGGAGCTCGGAATGGAACCAGAACTCGGACGTCGAGTCCGACTCGGAGACGTGGTGGTTTCGGTCATCACCACAGCGGAAGGAGAAGAGGAAGAGGACGGCGGAGCCAGGGCCTCGACATCGGTGTGGAAGGCGGAGACGGCGTAATGGGATGGGTCTGTCGTTCGCCTGCGGCGCATGCGGCAGAAGATGAGGCTCGCGATGATGAGGAGCATCACGATGACGCCTGCGCTGACGCCGCCCGCGATTGCGCCTACGTTGGACGACTTTTTCGTGGAGGTGGAGGCGTCGGCGCCCGGACTGTCAGGCAAGGAGCTGCTACTAGAGGTTGCGCTGCTGGTGTGGCTGCTAGACGAGCTACTGCCAGTAGATGCGGAGGCGTTCAGTGTACCTGCTCAGGAACTTATTTAGAAACGAGGATGAGTAGAAATGACTGGGACTAGCCTGTGCCTCCCGCCACTGTGGACAACTCAGCGAACCCAATCGACGGGGGATTCTCACGGAACACCGAGTAGACATTTCTCTGAAATGAATAAATACAGAGGTCAGCGAGTGTAAAGCGTAGAGGCCAGAGGGAGGGATTCTCACCAAGAAGGGTATTCCAAACTTCCAGCTGGGTGTCTGGTCTCCGGTTTCGCTGCCTATCGCGCCGAAGCAATCCGGGCTACCCTGCTCGACGGGTCCTTGATTCATATCTTGCGGGTCGATGGTCCACGTCCGGCCGCCAAATGAAACGGAGACACTTACAGTCGTGTTACAAGCTGGGGGAAACAATTCAGTAAGTCTATGAATGATTTGTATACTCGCTCACGGAACTGGAATACAGTTTCCACTGATTCGCTGGAGCCAGGGATCGCCGCGTAAATGGCCCTCACGTCCGCCTCTGGGCCGATTATCTGGTTAGACGTCGTATCGAACATGGTCGTTGTGGCATTAGGTGTGATGTTGATGGATTTTCCTCCAACGGTTATGACTGGGCCGCACATTAGTATTGTCAGTATGAGCGGTTTCCGACGTGGCTCGAGCGGGAGCGGGAGCGCACCTGAAACATCCAGCATCCAGAACCCCAAACCAGTTGATCCAGCTGCGACGCCGAGAAACTCGATATCACCCGAGAATAGAGAGTTGTTTACACCCCCGAATGTGAAGGCTCCTGCAGTCTCGTCGGTGCGCGAAAGCCAGAAGCCCATCTGGGGAGTAGAGGCTCCGCCGTTAGCGATGAGTGCCTTCCAGAAGGGTTGCGCGGTCGTCTCGACGGTCCCTGCGAATGCCAGTCCCAGAATACCGGAAATGGCGCTTGGTAAATCATCCGTGACCTGGGAAACTTGGACTGAGGACGTGAAGAGTTTCACATACCCAGCAATAAAATGAGATAGAAGTGAACGCACGGAATTCGGCCTTTGGGATTGAGAACGGGCCCACGCTGAGGGTGTCGGCAAAAATGGTGCCCCCTATGCCGCCATCTCCGAACGGAATGTCTGGAAAGGTGGTAGTTTTATTGGCAGCCGTCGAAGACTTGGTGGAGTCATATGGGGACCCAGCGCCAGTGGGACACCCAGTGCAGCCTTTCCCCCAGACCATCGTGGTAGAGGTACTGGTGTCAACCATCATCTTGAAGGTCTGCGCACTATGAAAGGTCAAACTCTGCAGGGACTTGGAAACCAAAGGCGAACGCACGGAGTACCGATGCTTATTTCGGTGAAATAAAATGGGCCAGTGAACTGTAAGCCCGAGTCAGCAAACAGCAATTGAGAGCATCGTTTGACTGGCCCCGAAGAGACCGCGCCGACTGCTCCGAGACGATACGTCGACATAGCGTGCCGGAGTTGCGGGTGGAGTGACGAAATGGGCCCGGAGTATAGGCGACCGACGCAAGGGAACATGTAGAGGCTCCGCGGCGGCAGAGGAAAGGATACAGAGTGTAACACCGACGAGATGTATCTGAGAACAGTTCAGTTCCGAGTTGATTGACGCCGAACTGCGAATTCTACCAGATGAAGAAGCATTTTTAAGGTCCAGCCCGCCCAGGGCGGTAGATGAGAGTGATCAGAGCAGAAAAAGAGCGCGGGGAAGAGAGCGACGAGAACAAGACAAGGGAAAGACCGAGCGGTGGGAATTGTGCGCGGGAATCGCTACTTAACAGGATGTTCCATTGATGAGTTGTGATTGAGCCTCAGCAGCATAGAAACGGAGATCATAGCTTTAAGAGCTTATCAAGAGAGGATCCGATTGTGGATCCATCTGGTGGTCAGGAATTTACATCCGTCGCTTCAAGCTTCAAGTCTTCGTGAAGGCCAGGAGAGGCCAGGAGGTGTGCTGAGAATGGAATCGAATTGGCTTCCGCGATAGAAGTGGTAACCAACTACACCATCGGACAGGTGGCTGTGCACGCGCGTCCGAAAAGCGCCAAAAATTTATTACACGCACACACAATTGTACAGATGTGTCACAAAAATCTCTCTGGTGAAATAAGGTCCAACGCCGCTATATCCACACCCGCAAAATCTCTACTCTGAATCGTCCGGCTCTCCACCTCTTGCTTCTGAAGCCACAAGCGATAGAGCTCGAAGCAGTCTTTTGCCTGGGAGAAGGTCAGCGATGGATGCGACGTATCTATCAAGCCCAATGCATACCAGAACAAATATCCCGTAGCCGAGGGAGTTCCTCCACCTGAAGAAAAGAAGGAATTTATGAGCAGATGAGACGCTTAGAGACGTCGAGGAATCCACATACCACACAGGATCGACGTCCCCCCACACCCACGAGCACCCCAAGAGCAGCCCGCCGACGGTCTGCGACACGGCCAGTGCGCGGTGCCGCAACGTCATCGCCGTCCAATTGGGGTACTCGTACGCATGCAGCACCACCGGTGACCCGGTGCGCAGGCCGAGGATGCACTGCAGGTGGGACGAGTACCCTGCCGCGGCGCGGAGCCAGGTCCCGAGTAGGCGCGGGACGGCAATGGAGCACACGGCATGCAGGACGTCGTGTGACAGGGACGACTGGTCCTTTTGAATGACCTGGTCCGCGAGGAGGAGCGGTGGCGGGTCGGGGTCCTCCACGTCCAAGTTGGGAGGGGCTGCTGGGGGTACTACAGGACGGGGTGCGCGGCGCGCGCCGAAGCCGAAAAGGGTGCGGGGGTTGAAGAGGCCACGCGCTCGCGCGCCTAGACGTTCGCTCAGGTAGCGCCTCTGGCGATGGGGCGGCGGCGCGCCGAGGACCCAGGTGCTGAAGTGCGAAAATAGGCGGTTGTAGATTGGGCGTATGAGGGGCACGATGACGAGGCCAAGCAGCGCGGGTGACGGCGGCCAAGTCGATATCGTGGCATGAGACGTGGAGACCTCAGATAGACTGTCGAGCTGCTCGAAAACTCCCAGTTCAGTTATTCCCTGGAAAATGATGGGGAAACAGAGGTAAAATGGGATTATCCATTTGGGCAGAGTGCCAGGGAGGAGAAGTCTGAAGGGAATGGTGGGGACCACTATGGAAAGTGATCGGAGGAGGTGCTTCGATTCCTTAATCATCAGGAGGTCGAACATCCTAGGCAAAGTCAATTTCCTGAACTTATTGAGAGGGAGAGAAGGTCCTACCGTGGACCCAGATAAGATTCCAGAAACGCGACTTCGTAGAGGAACATTCCTAAGAACGAATTAGCAGCCGTGAACGTCCCCAAAGCGCATCCCAAACCTACCGGAGAGCGCAATTAATCGCAGTTGAAAGGAGATACCGAAAGGAATCATCTGGAATGTACTGACGCCCACTGCGGTGCAGACCACGTCCGCCGACTCAGCCAGCAATACGTAGAATCCGTTGTAGATCAAGCTGAGTCCGTGGGTCCACGACGGCGGCGTGACTAATTCATACGGACGCCGACAATGAGGGCACTTTAGCGTGCGCAGCGCGATCAAGTCCTCATAAGCACGAGCAGGAGTGTTGTTTGTGGGGCGTGGGGCAGGGAGAGAGCTCATCCACCGGCGAAGACACTGGTCGTGGGCGACGAGGGCACACTTCGAACAAGGATGGACCCAGGCGTTGGACGCGTTCCTGGCTGGGCGGTTTGGACGACCGACCACATCTAGTTCTGGGGAAACCGTAAGAAGGATAACAGGTCAACTTGAGACTTTGGACGTGCCAGGCGCGCGTTCTTCTTCCAAGCAGATGAAACAGGTTTTGACCTGGATTGAAGATTAGACGATGGATTTATTTGCCGCGTGAAACTTACGCGGAGGTTGTCCAAAGTCGGGGCGGCGTTCATGGGATCGCAATCGACTACTTGCTTTCATGCGCATCCGCCTTGCTCCCAGGACGGATTTTCACGCACACGCGTGCGATGTGGGAGTGGATATGTCAGAAGAATTTTGTTTGGCAGAAACTTAAGTTCGATCAATGTGCGCTCTCAATCGAATTGACGTGCGTTGCAGCTATACCAATCGGTCCGATGGTGTAGTTGGTTATCACTTCTGTCTAACAAATCACGTAATTTGGTGCACAGGCGGTCCTCAGTTCGAACCTGGGTCGGATCACTTTTTGGCCTATGTAACTCTGGGCTGCCAGATAGAATTATCCGCTTTTGTCTCGTGCTATTGATGGAATCTGCGCATTGATCGATCTTGTGATGCTGATGCTGATGCCGATGCTGATCACCGATCAAACGATTATTTTCCAACCTTATGCATAAACATCTTGCAGGGCCCGTCTGGTAATTCAGCTCGCAGCGTCTGGCGAATAATTCTCGGGAAACATCCGACATATCCCTATACATCCCCGTGAAAGTTGAACCGCTTGAACATCATTTGGCACGTGCTGTGATCCCAGCTGTTTCCGACTTCCATGTCCTCATCCCGACTCGTCTGGGTTTGCCGGGTTTCACGACAGCGCGCACCTATAAATGCTAGCGCGCCATCATTTTACTCTCGAGGGCTGAAATCTACAGCTCTCCCCAAGTACAATGCTCCAAAAGTAACTCTAAACCGTCAGACCCTCAGTCTGCTTGCCATGCTTCTTGCTACAACCACGTGCGGTGCGGTTGGCGGATACAGCATTGCGCAGTCTACTGCCGTTCCATCCACGGAAAATACAAAACCCCTGAAGTATGGAACCGCGCAAGATTTTATACAAGCTATCAAGGAACTGCAAGAGGCTCTTCCCCGTGATGGAGGTGTATCGACTGACCCAGCCGATCTCGTCATTCACGGAGAATCGCCGTATCACCACCACGATGGTACCCTTTTCAGCTGTTTTCTCTGTGCACTTCTCCCGCTAAATCGACGGATAGGCGTACCCCACAGCGTCATTGTCTATCCGGAAAGTACCGAAGATGTCGTCAAGGTTGTGAAAATTGCAAACAAATACAGGATGCCTGTAGTGGTAGGGAATTTCTCTTTCATTCATCCTTGGTAAAATTTCAACCATACTGCAGCCGTATTCTGGAGCCACAAGCCTGGAAGGCCAAGTCGGTGGTGTTCGCACCGGTTGCATTTGTGTCAACATGTCGGGAATGGATGAGATCATCGAGATTCACGGTTGGTTTGTCAAGTTGAAAGAATATTTAATACTTATTAGGTGGCTATAGAAGCCGATGCCGACCTTGTATGTCAGCCCGGAGTCGGGTGGATGACCATCAACGAAACATTACGCAGCAAAGGTGGGAGATTGCATTTCTAATGTTCGCCTTACAGTATTTCAACTTCGATCAGGAATACCCTTATTCTTTCCCGTTCAGTCAAGTTTCTTGTCCCCCACCAGCTTATAACCAACTCTTCGAGTAGATCGATCCCGGCCCTTCTGCAACCATTGGCGGTATGATCAGCACCGGCTGTTCAGGAAGTGAGACCCAAACTTTAGGTTTTGAACCGTCCTTACAATAATGCAGCTAACGCTGTCCGATATGGGACTGCCAAAGGGGAATGGTTCCTCAACTTGGTAACCAGACGGTTCCCTGATGTATATCCTTTCTCTCATGTACAACCACAGACTGTGGTGCTCCCGTCGGGCGAAGTTATAAAGACACGTAGCCGGTCCCGCAAGTCATCCGCAGGGTTTGATCTAACGAAATTATTCATTGGCGCCGAGGTACGGTATTGGCACTTTTAGACTTGAACTAATTAATTCTTCTGATGCGCAGGGAACACTGGGAATAATTACGGAAGGTATGTTTTGCCCTAAGCCACTGTGGCGTCGTACTTGACTCCATCACAGTGACACTTAGGCTGGCGCCTGTTCTACCCACCACGGTTGCAACTGTACAATTTCCAAATGTCGGCGCAGCAGCGGAAGCGGTTCGACAGGCCATTGATGTAGCGGGTGTCGGGGCTAGCGTTCGTAAGTCTTGAACGTGATCCTAATGCAACTTGCCTATTCATTCGTGGCATAGAATGCGTCGAGCTGGTGGACGACAACTTTATGACCGCATTGAATAAATTTGGTACGATCTTTTGCCATGCTTGAAATTGCACTCGCACTCACTGTATTTCTGACTAGGCTCGTCGAAGCGAAAGTACCTTGAGAAAGACGGGCTGTTCTTTAAATTCCAGGGACATTCTGATGCCGCCTTGAAGGAGGTGGCTAAAATCGTCAAAAGGGTCTGCGAGAAAAACGGAGGCAGCGGATTCAAACTCGCGAGCGGGCCTGATGAAGCAGAGGCCATGTGGTCTGATCGTAAAAATGCGCTCAACATCGGGCTTTCTATCTTGCCTGGAGCGAAAGGCTGGTCCACGGATGTTTGGTGCGAATTCTTTCTCGATATGATCACAAGTTTTGATAGAATATCCTTTCAGCGTCCCCGTTTCGAAGCTCCCGGAACTAGTGTACGAGACGAAGAAGGATATTGCTGCTGCCCAGATTCCTTCTATCCTTGTCGGACATGCGGGAGATGGCAACTTTCATGCCCTCCTTTTGTACAAGACGGAAGAAGAATTGGATGTGGCAAAAATAGTTGCCGATCGCCTTGTGAGGCGAGCCCTAGCTTTGGATGGCACATGTTTGTTACCTTCCCTTCTTGCTCCTCCTCCTTGATGAGCACACGCCACAGGTACCGGAGAGCACGGTGTGGGCATTGGAAAGAAGAAATATCTTACCCAAGAGCTAGGGCCGGGTACCGTTGAACTAATGAAGAGAATCAAACGTACCATCGATCCCCTTGGACTATTTAATCCAGGCAAGGTATGTAACCTCAGCTCGGATTTGTCGCTGGGACCTAGTTTATTCATTCCTCCCATAGCTCTACCCGGACTAATAATGATATGTTTATTTTTGGTTCCATGTGTGAGAGAAGAACCGTGAGTTAGACACTCGTATCCAACACGCTGCGATCGAGACCGATTGAATCCTGCAACCGACCATGTCATACCAGCCTCCCCGACGTCCAGGATGGATTCCTGTGCGCACGACATTTACGAGGCGCGAGATTAGTGAACGGCTTCATATCTCGAATGCCAAATCCCTAGCTATCTCTGCACATGATGGTGTTCTCTCCGCCATTCTCGTTTTCGCAAATACGCAGCCTCTCTTTAAACCATCACGCTCGCAGATTGTTTGCAAATCCAACCACGTTTGTATCGAGAATATTGATCCCGCTCGTGAATACCCGATTTTCCGAGCAGACTGTGGCGCAAGTAGTCCTCTCTAGTTTGGAGGATGGGTTCGGATACGTGAGGTCAAGTTCTTCGAGCCACGGAGTGAAGAAGTGAAGTGACGGCGATGTTGAAGATTCGATGGAAAGCGAAGTCTGAAAGAGTGACAGAGTTGTGGGAGAAGAACTTCGGTCGGAAATGGGCAATAGTGACGTTGGAAAATGTGGAAGGATGGGAAGTTAATCCTATGTATCAAGATGCAGTGCTGTTCGTACGACCCAAACATTGGACTCGATGTTGTCGAGCTGGCTCTGGCTTGTTGAAATTGAACTTGGTTTTATATATATATATAAATCAAGCAAATATCGGCTCCAAACCGTCAATAGAGGTAAAGTACTTCAACAAACGTTATTAAACCTGCCAGTATATGGAAGGATAAGCTGCGCCGAACTGTTCGGCAACTCCCGCGTTCCAATCTGATGAATGCGTCTCAACCGGAACCTTCCATCGAGATTCTTGCTTCCTCCTCAGACCTTCAATTTCATCAATTAACTCTTGAAGAATTACATTTATATCCTCGCCAATCATCGCGGACTCAATCGCACGATGTCAATGCCACTCCGGACGCAAACTCCCGTCACGGTCGGACTGTTCGTGGACATTTGTTTAATTTTGCCGTGATAACCATGATTAGTAGTCTGTCCGCGGGGAACTCGATGCTCCATGCTGAATCCCGCATATAATGATCATTTAGCAACTCTTGCCGTACTCGGGCTGCCGCTCGGGCATGTGGACCTATCAAGTCGTTCGCCGCGCCGTTACTCACTCAGGCGACATCTTCCCAGCCGCGGCTGAGCGGCTTGAAGATTTAGTGTATTCGCTCCCCGTCGGGTTGTCTTTCTAAGGCTCTACTACTCCGCGATGCCCATTTGAGACACGGGCATTTCCATTCGTGGAACCAAAAAGACTTGGTTTCGATCCGCGGTTGGAAAAGAACCAAACGGTGGAAATTTTCCTCGTGTACGTGAGTGTAGCTGGCTCATTGTTATAAACGGTTATGCGGTAACGCAAGGGTAAATCAACCTTGATCCAAGGCCCTTGACACAATATGCGTTAATGTTCAACTACGCCGGCTGATCTTAATGCGTTAGAGCAGATGTTCAAATTTAGTCCGCCAACGGGGAATTTGTCGTTCCAACTCCGTTGACTAACTTTGCCAACATAAATTCTGGGATATCTGAACATGCAATTACCTCCACAGCAGTTTCCCTTCAGATGGAAAAGACAGAGGCGGAAATCCAAATTATCTCAGTGGCCCCGTCCCTGGAGCAGAACATGTCTTCGGATGAGCTTTGCAGCCCACCCATGGTAGGTTTGCTCACCTCCACGAACATATATCGCTCAGATAATTCTAGGACGGCGGATTTCACGCACTGGCTTATTTAGCGAGTGCTTGGGTTGTCGAACTTCTCGTCTGGTTCGTTCTCCTCAATTTCATCTCATCTCAAACGAAATCCTCGCATAGGTCATACCCATTTTCTTATGGCGTCTTCCTTGAACATTACAAGACCCATGTTTTCCCGGATGCGCCGTCCTCAGTGTTGGCCTTGGTTGGGTCAATGTCCACAGGCATCATCTATCTGACTTCGTGGATGATTCTCCCCCTCATTGCTCGATATCCCTCGCTGAAGAAATCCATCATGGCGCTAGGCGTCGTATTCTGCGTGACTGGGTTAATTGGTGCAGCATTCGCGACCCAGCCGTGGCAACTGGTTTTGACTCAAGGAGCTATCTACGCCTTGGGCGGGAGTGCGTGTTTTCCGTCCCGGTTATGACTACTTACTCAATAAGCTAGGCTTCCTATATTTCCCCGTCATGACATACCTATTTGAATGGTTCTCTGAGAAGAAGGGACTCGTGAGTGCCCGTAGCTTCTTCCAAGATACAATTCA